TTTGGTTTGCTGAAATATTTATCATTTAGTACAATATTTTTGGATCAGTATTATTGTTTGCAATAAGTTATATTTAAATAACCTCATGATTCGAAATATACTCGTATATATTATGTAAGTATTTAATTATTTGTATTGTAAATTATAAGTTTTAGTAGTTCATAATAATATAATATATTATATTTGAAAAAAAAATTGAATTCTATGAATATTTTAATGATTTAACTGTTGCAAGCTTACATACTTTAAAGTTGTACTTCTAAAGTTATAACACCTACCAATTGTTATATTTATAGTATTGTTATACGACCATTGGTTTTATATAATTCAACTGTTATCACTCTTTTAGGTAACCAAAAGCTAGGAAAAAATGAATAGAAGCAAGTTTCAGAACATTTTTACCCTGTCAAATTGTTGTTTCCGTCTCAAAGTCACAGGAGAATTAAAGACTTTTTGAAGCATGAAAGGACAAGGTAACTTCATTTTATATTCACTTTTAAACAATGTTTGCATGAGTTATAGGCTTAAAATTCTCATCAGACTTCTGGGTATAGTTTGTTTATTTACTAATAGATCTTGACGCGCTTATAAAATCAAACGTTTATGTAAATGTCATACATAATAGAGATATTTTTTTTGGAGACTTTGATTACCATTTGGTGACGCATAATCTAAGACACAATATGTAATTTAGTGGCTCGGCGAATACGTTTCTCGCGGGATTCGAATTACCTCTGCACCCTGCGTGATCTCAAAAATGATGTGTATTCTTGGCAAACCAATTTCGGCGAAAGCTAAAAGCTCAACAAGTTGAATGTAGAACTATGAGATGAAATAGTGTTATAACTGTTATCGATAACTTATTTATAATGATCCTCATCAATGATTTTTGCATTGTGACATAATACATTTTAATTTGCTTATGCTTACTTAACGATATCAGCTTCACTAAACTGTTCGGTATGAATAATGAAAAACCGAGGAACTGTTTTCTGTTACATAGTAGTAGTTAGTCATTAATTGGGTCATTGATAAAGGTCACTGTAATGGATGTGTTAAATTTAAATTTAATGATAAATCATCATAGCATACGAAAAACAATCGGAGACGGTCTGTCAACGGCTTTATTTCTAAGGATATTTTATTATACCTACATTAATTTTTTATTAGTGACATACTGACATGGTTGGTTGAACGAATTGTTGTAAAAAACAAATGGCATAACATATTATATTAAATAATTATGGTGATTATTTTAACATTATTTCATATAATATACTACTATAGCTGTTATTAGCGTATACGTCAATATTGATGTACCATAAAATGACATGTATAGGTTTATCGTATTATAGCTAAAAATTAATTTTAGTATTTGGGAAATTTCGTTGTGTATAGTAAATTAGTAAATAATAAGGTAGTCACTATATGCGTAATAGTTTTTGAATTAAAATAATCTAACTATAGTTGTTTGATGAAAAATCTATATTTTTTGTTTAAATATTTAATTTAAAATTTAAAATTTAAAATTTGAACTTCATCAGATGTATATAAAATGAAACTGAGCTAATTTTAAACAGAGAGAATTAAATACTTTTTGTCGATGTGTCTCTCATTTAGGACTTTCTATAAACAGTCTAAACCTAGCTCAATGTAATGTTATTTCCTTCTCCAAGTTACACACCTACTCCTATTCTGTCTTCCTATTTTCTCAGTGGACTACAATTAGAATCTGTAACCCGCATTAAAGATCTAGGCTGTAAGTTATCAGTAAATCTTAGTTTTAGTCCTCTCTTCGATATAATTGTAAATAGAGCACTAAAATTCTCAGATTTATTGTATCCTTTGCACGAATTTATTTTAGCCAGCTAGGTGCCTCTCCCGTTCCTAATATTTTTGCGTTGTTCGTCTATTGCTGGAATACGGATCAGTCAGTAGTTTGGTACTCTTACATAACCCAGGACCTCGTCCGAAATATATTTTTCTGCCGCGCTCTTTTATAATGAATATTCAGCACCAACTCCTTGACATGGCTCTATGGCTGATAAGAAAGATTCTTATCATTCCTACCCTAGCCTCTCGCCGTGATAAAGACATAAAGTAGACTGATGTTAAATGGGTTTCTGACCTTACTTTGCTGTCATATCATGTAGAGCGCCTTTCTATTCTTCTAGAAATCAACCCGAATTCCACGTGCTGGTACATAAAGTATCATATTAGCCTAATCAAACCTTGAATACTGAACTACTGATAACTTTAAATCCTCATTTCAAACTTGAATATCTTCATTAACTAAAGATACCTACCTTAGTTTTCTATGTTTTTGCTTAACTATACTAACATATCATTTGTATTATTAGTAACTAGCTTTGTTTCTGTGTATTAATTTATAATATACCTATAGGCTATAGTTATATATCATTTTGTTAATTCTTATTCCTGTAAGTATACCACACTTTTCAACCATGTTAAATTTCCTTTGACGTTAACATTAAACAATAATATAATGAGGGTAAGAGCCAATAGATACTATTGAATGATTAAAATAGTACTTAGTATAATGGACAATTTTATGAATTTTTAAAAACACTTTCAATACTTCAGTTTATTTAGTTATTGTGACTCATCGTCCATCGAGTGTAATTATACAACGAAGATTTTATTATAATCTTGTTAAAATTATTGAAATACATTTTTTAGACAGACAGTAAAAACACAGTTGTTTATTTTAATATAAACATTTTATGTTGATTATCAATTTTTGTAATTTAAATGAATAAATACAAAAAAGTTTTCTCGTCAAAAAGTACGAGTTGAAAAGTATAGAAAAAAAATGTTTGGTTGAATTAAATTCATAAAAGTTAAAAATTATGAAAATTATCTTTTCAATTTTAGAATAAATTAATTATTCTTATTGTCTAATATGTTAATTAGTATTAAAACCACTTAAATGTGTAGGGTTGTGTTTACGATCAGAAAATTACGTTCAGACAATATTTAATATTACATTTTCCATCTTTAATATTGTAATTGTTTTTTTAACAAATGTTATTATACAATAAATTATTTTTACAGTCCGACCGTTGTTTATTTTTTTAGCACTACAAATATCTTTACGCGTACAATGTGGTTGTTCAACAATTAGAAAAAACTTGAAGAACACGGTTGTAGCATTTAGTTATTAGTTATTATTGTTATTAACAAAAATTCAGTTACGGGGATATTTGAAAGTAATAATATTAAAAACCATAAATGTAGATCGCAAGCTGCAACGTTATATTCTACATTATGCTACATCTGTATAGGGATAACAGTCGTGTTTCGCAATAGTGGAAATTAAACTGCTCAACATTTTCTCTATAACTACCTACGCTTACAAAGTGAAGTCCTAATTAATATGTCTTGTCTAATGTCTATTGTGTATCATCTGTGTTCCGATCTATTTGGTATTTGAAGTTTTTGCAAACAAAGAGTAAAAAATATGACAATGTATAACCTGCAATAGTTCTGCTTCATATATAGTGTTACAGTGTTATATATATATGCTATATGCATACATATATTTATTGAATTTTGAACTCGAATCCCACTATAATAGATTACAAAGTCGAGAAGACAATAATTTTATACTATATTTTAATATTTAATAGTTTCCAAAGGGGTCGAGATGATTTGAAAAATTGTTTTTGAGATCCATAGAAAAAAATAAAAAATCAAACTTCTAGGTATATTTATTTTGATGTAAAACATAATTTACATTGAAAAATTAATTAAATGTTTTACAAATATTAAAGTGAAATTTTATGGGTTTTTCATGATTAAAATTTTCATATCTACATTTATTTTTAACTGGAATTATTAAAAATATAATTTTATATCTTAATAATCAGAAAAGTGTCATCTCTTCTTGTCCTGAGCCAGTTTTTTAAAATTTGGTATTTTTGTAACTAACGTACGTAGTGTTTTCAAGGTAGCTATCAGATAATCTTGAATGAAATACAAAAAAAAGAACATTTTGGAGAACGTCATTTCATATAATATAATACCTATTTGTTGAGCCAAACGAAAGCTAATTTAATGGCTAATTTTTTACAGTTCATATAATTTTCGGAAATATGCTTTCTACTGAGTGCTTACCCCAACATTTTTCAGTAGGTGCAGTTTTATACAATTATATATCTTCAAAAAAATATTTTCTTACAAGTCAATATAATCTCCATTTGAAGCGGAGATGTTAGATTTCAACATTTCACATCTTTACGTCACTTAATTCACCCGTCGGAGAAACAAACTATTCGTAAGTATTTTTACTACAACTTTTAAGTCTTGTTGTAAATTCTTTCCAAAAATTTGACAAAAAACTTAAAAAAAACATTTCATTCTATTTCGACTTTTTATTTATTTTCACGTGCAGTTGAAAAATTGAATAGAATTCTTGATTCTCAATATCTCGTTGAAATGTCTCAAGCTTTTGGTGGAAAGCTGACACACATTTTATCATATAGGTATCGACAAAACTTTGATCGGAAACAGCAGTTATACATTTCGTAGTAATCGGAATCATAATAATTACACGAAATGCTTTGTAGGTACTCGGTTTTGCCAGTACACCCGGCAATCTAGTTGAAATGTTATCTCATATACAGGTACTGCAAATAATGCAGTGTACTATTATCGCTGTTTATTTTCGGAGTCGAGATCGCGCGGTAAAATGTTAATGCCGTATAACATTATAGAAGAATAGTGGTATCCGGGACGACTGGAGGGTTCATCAAGAGTACCTATATGCAATACAGGTATAAAATAAATTAAAAAATTTCGAGTCGAGGCAGCGGAGTCGGCGTCGGAGCTAGGGGAGGAGAAGGTAAACGGCGGCGGGGCTGGGGGGGGAGGGGTGTGGATGAATAGGAGGAGCTTCGTGGAGGACGCAAAACAGACAGCGCGTTATCGTTCGCCGCCGCCGCCGCCCGGTATGAATGAGCAGTATACAAACTAACCGTTTTATACGCGAGCCAACGTGCCGCCGACTCAGTGCAAGGCATGCGATTAACATGGTCACACAAACGGTACTGTCGTCAACGTGCGCAGCATTCGACGACGAATTCGTCAGCGGCGAATACTACCTCGGCACGCGTGTTCCGCACCAGGTAAGTGGTAACCATTATATTATAAATTTGACCCTCGTGTTTCATCTCACCCGCCCCGTAATATATATATATATATATATATTTTAATGGCTGACCGGAATATTCGACATTGTGTTAGATATTAATTATTCGCCCGACGGGCACGGTTTTGTAAAATACGTTTTGTTTGCAATTGAAAAATGTGTGCGATATTATAGTGCACTATATCGGAGAAATCCTGTTGGGTCGCCCCGACGAATTGTTCAATCGATATAACATTATAACCGCTGTGCGATCAAAATGTTGATTTATTTTCCATGAAATATATATTGTTGTTTTGACATTCTAATTTATACGCCGTGATTGTGTGGGTTGCTCCTCTCGATATCACGACGCCACCGATATCGTTTTTATTTCAATAAAGTGAAGCTCTCGTCGATTTCAAGAACGGATAATATTCAATACAAATATTTTTTTTCCGATTTCGTACCAACTATAAACGGCCAGTGCATGACGCACGTTTAAAAAAACATTAATTTATTATACTTACACTGCAGATTGGCGATAAAAACGCAGTTGGTGTCATTTATTAAATCGAGAGTTCTAATGTATGGCGTACACGTATAATTTTCAATTAAAATTCAAAGTTTATGTTTTAATTTAGTTTTTGAATAAATGTTTTTGTTTAAATATCGTATCTTATGAATGCGAATTTGTACCGATTTATTCTGTGTATATGCATAGGGATAACATGCACGATTAGCATATATTTATATGCATGAACGGACCAATGCGTCGTTTTTATTTTTGGATGATTAAACTTGTGATAAAATATATCTACAATTAAAATCAGATTTTGATCATAGAGTGATCGACGGTCGACAGTTTTTTTTAAATCCAATGATTTATTTCTTCATTGAAAAAAATTCTGATGGTTATAAAACCAGATTTCAAATTTAGATTCTTACCCAAAGTCATCATTTATCGATGATTAGTTGTTATTATTATGTAACATTGTTTTTTTTTGTTGGCATTCAAAAATATTTGATATCACATCAATTTAGATGAAATAAATGTCAAATGCAACATGTGTATTGCAATACTAAGTACCTATATAAAAGCATATGAACAACTTCAAATTTAAGTTGAAATTCTTGTATATATCATCAATTTAATATTTGTTTCTGTTAGCCTAAAAATTAGGTATCGAATTAATAAATGCAGGAATGCATTTAAAAATTAAAAGTTGTCAATTTAATTCATAAAGAATTTATAATATAATAGAATTGTTGTGCAATAAAAAACGTCTATAAAGAATAATTAAAATACATATGGTAAGTGATGCAAGCTACAAATCATCCGTTTTTCAAATATAAAAATAATATTACGTCTTCGCATATATTTATTTTGTATGAAATAAACTAGAGACTAAAATACTTATATTTATCATGATATAATTGTAAACTGAAATTGTTTTAAAGTTCTGTATACTCGTTGAAAATTTGAATTTATTATGATTATAACTGAAATCTTTGTAGACAATATAGTATACTTTACATATAAACTAATATTTTCTCTGAGCAAAATTATATTATTATTTAATTTCATTGCGATCAATAATTTTTAAATTTGAAACTAACATTTTTTCTTGTTTATTAATAATTATAACGATAATAATTATAAATATTTATCTATGAAGTAAAATAAATTCTTCAGTTATTGTAATTTAATTTTTTAAGGGTAAAAAAAAAATGTACAATGAAAGCAAAAATGGATATATTTATAATTTTATAATAATTATTTGTGCATACTTTTAAAGTTTCTTGTTTATCAAACTGTTTTTGTATTTTATCATTGTTCAATTTTATTAGAATAATTAATAGTGAATATATATAAATACATCTTGTGTGGGTGCATATTTGCATATTTAGAGAGTAGGTACGTTATGTCATTGCACGCTGTATTATTTTTATTGTAGTGAATAAAATGTGAATTTTCATAAAATTAAAAAATACTTGTGAAATGTATTTATTGTTATGAACAAATCAACTGTATAATCCACTATAATTCTATTTTATAGAAAATTACTATAATATTCAAAAAAGATTCCCGTAGTGTTTATTTTGCCCAAAACTTTTGGTAGTCGAAACATAGTATTTGGTTAATTACTATGTACAAACCACGTCTGATCAAAATTTAGTATATTACGTCATTTACGTAATGGCCCTCAAAAGTTAGGAGGCATGGACACATTTAAACAAAAACAAATGGTTATAGGTAAAATGTATATAACATTATTGAGTATGAAGTGAATATTGAATAATTTACCTAAAAGATATTATATAAACGTTCTTTAAATGTTGTTAAGTAATGCGCTGTTGTGCTTGTATTGCCTATTCATGACGCCGTCGTACACATTTTTAAATGTACAATTTTCGTCAGTAACGGATCGAGTATTCACGCAGGCTATTGGATAGAGGTGTATTATTAATTATTATTGGACGTATATAAATAGAAATTCAAAATATGATTTTAACCAGAGCTTAATTTGAAACAGAATATATGTTTTAATTGGAAGTTGATCAAAAGCATATGAAAAAAAAACTTTCGAAATTAATTCATATAATAGTTATGCAAATTATCATATAATTTTATAATGTAACAGTGAATTGTTTTTTATAATATACAAATTAATTTGTTACAATGTATCGATCAAAACCAAATACAAAATGTAGGTAGGTATTTAAAAATGATTTTAATTTATCATCTTTTGTAATTTAATATATGTAGATATTTTTCAGATTCATTTTAACTATGTTTTGTATGTGCTTTATTGGGTTTTTGATTACAGAAAGGACTTTTCGAAATTTTACGTATTTCTTTCTCAACAATTAAAAAACGTTGTATAATTTGATGTTTTTACTGTACATTATGTTAATTTTATTGAAAAATATTATATTTATTGTGTATTTAAATGTAAAATAGAAAGATCGCAATAAGTAGGATCATTGATTATAATACATGATAAGACAATAATATACAGATTCAATAAATAAATTTAAAATACGATCGCATAATATATATATTATGTACATTATACCTAATTTATATTACAAGAGACGCCAGCATAATAAATTATATTGTTATTTAAACTTTTGCACACAAATAGTTATTGGATTTAGTAATATAAAACTAAAGATACTGCGGATAATTTTAGATTTTGAGATAATATTAACTTATTATAATTTTATTTTATTACATCCGTGTAAGTTTATAGCATAGTTAATTTTTACTAGAATGCGACATTTTTCCATAATTTGTTCACGTGTCACATACTATCATAGCCATTGGACATTGTGTATAATATCGAACGGGGGAATCGCAATAATCCCATATTATAATACTGTATATCTATTTATATACATATGTTTATGTATATTTATAACTTTTGTTCTGATCTATATATATATATAAAACAATTAAAGTACATTTTTACGATTATTGATAGTACTAAATAGTAACTACCAAAAAGTAAAAATATTGAATGGAACTAAAGTTCCTTCATAGTTATACTTAGTTGCATTAATTGTCAGTTGCAAAATGAGTGTAGCAGTTTCTCACTAGCTAACTGCAATACCGGGAATAGCGTCTCTGGTTCAATGTGTCATCTACAGCAATAGTAATTATTAATAAGCTTCACAATGTACAATCTAATAATATGTATAAAATGTTATTATAAGGTAGGTAAAATGCGGAATATTATTTTTTTTTACAGTTCAAATTTTTAACAATGCAATTTGTATCAGTAATTAGTATAGGTTTAGCAGCTTACAAGTTATAATCAAAAAAACTTTTGAAACAAATTATCGTCAAGACTTAAGAGAAATTCGTTACGAAGGTATTATTATAATTTGTGAGCACAGGTTGGGGGGTTGAAAATATTTTGTACAAACTATACGAAAAAGGCAAAGGAAATAATTAATAAAACCACTCATATGGTACGTCTTACCTATATGCTATGATTATAATAATTAGGTATAAATGAATAATAAATAATAATATTAATACATGGCGATCGGTCCAACGCACTATGTGTGTTTCACAAGTAATTTGCAGGTTTACCAGTTTTTGGACACTGTATGAATATGTTTTTAAATATTCACCATATTGTATTATAATTCATATTATTAAGATTTTTGTTGCTCGAATAATTAGTTTACTGTAATTATAACGTTGACTACAAATGCACCATCGGCGAAACCAATTATAATCACAGTACCATACATTGACTGGGTATACAAATTGTTGTATATTATTTTGCGTGATATTGTGACTATTTCCGACGTTAATTACTATTTTATTTTTTCCATTAACCTGCCTTTAAAACGGCAACATATCCAACGATATTAGAAGACAATACGATAACAATGAAAAAACTTGGTAATGAATTGTTTAACTACCATTTGTTAAGACACAAACAATGTCGTAACATAACGTCGCAAGCACTAAATTTTATAAAAGGGTTGTATTAAGTTTTCTAATTTTTTAAAACATTTCACAAGCCTTGTTTAATTATGTTTTGTGAACAATTTTAACTATGAATTAATATACTACAGATCTCTTTATGTTTTATTTAGTGCTTTTAAGCTTTAGTACCTATATTATTTATGGATAAACAAAAAATTTCTACTCTTACAATCGCCTTATAAATGGAAAAATTGTTCACCTGGGTATGATATCTCGATACGACGTACGCGGTTTGGATGTGAGTTGGACGTATTACAGCTAACCCACCTGTTGACCAAACCATAACATGCTCTTATGGTAATTAGTAATTTTTTAAAAACCACGTACGAAAATCGAATTAAGCTTTATCCAACGTACATTTGCTCATAAACGTGAGATGTACCATTCGCCGAAAACGAACAGTAGCACGCGTGCAGTAAATCACGGGGTTTTAAAATCGTCGGAAGCATCCCGGCGTTTAATCTTTATGTAATAAGAGACGGCAATAGAGTAGG